TGGGATTCTGAATGGGATTGTTTTTCTAACATCTCTCTCTTCTCTTTCTATATTTGTGTATAGAGAAGCCATGAACTTCTGCCACACTACTATTGTTTCTAGAAACTTTTCCATGGAGGTTTTAGAATTCTCTAACTATAGTATTATGTCATCTGATAATGGTGATAGCTTGCCTTCTTCCTTTCCTGTCTGGATGCTTTTGATATCTTTATCTTGCCTAATGTTTATGGGAAGTATATACCTCCAGTACTATATTGAATAGGAAAAATGTTCTACATCACTAATCATTAGGGTGGTTCATATTAAAACAATAATAAGGTATCATCTCACGTCAGAGACTGGCACACATCCAAAAGAACAAGAGCAACCAATGCTGGCATGGATGCGGGGAGAAAGGGACTCACATTCATTGCTGGTGGGAATGCTGACTAGTCCAGCCTTTTTGGAAAACAATATGTGATGGATATTACCAAAAAAATTGAGCTTTCATACAATCTAGCAATACCACTTCTGGGAATATGCCCCGAAGCCCAGAACCACAGAGCAGAAATGCTATTTGCACTTCTTTGTTCATTGCAACACTATTCATACCAGCAAAAATCTGGAAACAACTGAGTTCACAAGAACATATGACTGGTAGAAGGAACCATGGGGCTTCTATACAATGGAATACTATGTCACTATTAGGAAAAATGCAGTAATGAAATTTGCTTATAAATGGATGGACATGGAGAATATCATGGTGAGAGCAATGAATTAGGAGAAGGACAGACATAAAATAGTTGGACTCATTTGTGGGATATTATAAAAAAAACATAGTATGAGATCAGTACTCAAGGATAGTAAATCTACTACAGGAAATCAAGGCCATCAATGTGGAATTAAATAAATTAAAAAATATACTACTGTCAAAAAAAGAATAGAAAGATTGGCATTCTTACTACTATCCTAATTTTCAAATTTTCTTTGCTTTATTATTTTAAACAGTCTTTCTTTTTCTGGCCTCTTCTTGATAATTAGGTCGCATTTAACTTTCTAGGAATACATATCATATCTTAAAACTTGTCAAAATACAATTGATGTATTATCTAATTTACAATGTTTTAAATTTTAAGATGCTCCAAGTGTTTTACTTACTGCTAGTAAGAACAAAACTGTGGCTAATTATAATTGTAAGGAACCATCAGCTGAAATATCTTTATTTGAGTGATCTTAAATGTGAAAAAATGATTTATAATTTAAAAAGTACAGAGAAATCAGGACCACAATTTCCAAATTTCTATTCTCTTATTGATGTTTATGATAATTTTTTGTGAAGAATGCTGCACTGCATATTACCATTGATTTAAAAACAATTGTAAAGCTTTAGAAAGTGTTCTGACAGAATAAAAGATAAAGTGGAAGGCCAGTATCTTTATTTTGTATATGCTCCAATTACCTAGAAAAAAGACACTCAACAAATATTTCTCAACAAAATTTATGAGTAAATTTATGTCTCACCGGAGATTTCATGTTTCTGCTCGAAGAAAAATAAAATCTAGAAAGTAACAAATTAGCTTCTTCTAAATGCCAATTTTTGCTTTTCAGATAGCTCAGATAGTGCTGCTGAAAGATGCCTTCTTAAGCATTTCTTTTCAAGTGTTAACTTTTTCACTTTATTTTTCTAAGTATTAGGGTTATACTTAAATTCAACGAAATGTTCAATAGTTTTGTGAATCCCTGTAAAAATGAGAAATAATTGGTCACTTATTCAAATTTGTGCAATGTGGAAAGTTAAAAGAAGTGTAATATATTTCTTATAGTAATATTCCTCACCTGCTTGGTATAAACCTGAGATAAATAGGTAAAATATAGAAACACAGGAGTTTAGCAAGGGGAATGAATATTGTCGGTCTGAATTTTATTTTATTTCCTATTTCTCAGGAATACTCTTTCGGCTTTCGTGACGGTTGAATATAAAAAGCATCAATATGGGCTTCTATTTGGGAAAAGGCTCACATCTCTTCTTTATGCTACACTTAATTTAAAACTATCAAGTCTGCTGCCGCTCTGGAGGCAGAATATCAGGGCCAAGAACAGGTCTCCCAAACGGGGTCTCAGCTCGAACCTTCTCTCTGCCCTAAATGGCCTTGGACATCGGATTGGCAACTCTAGGATTTGCATCAGGACCAGAGGCAGCACTTACGGGGCCGGGCCATGCCCTAGATACTCCTGGATACTCCTTTCCTCTGCCACCACCATGCCTTTCCGTGCCTGGCAGCCCACCATGACCTGCAGATGGGCTTTTCCTGTCTTCACTCTGTGGCTTCCCAGACCTCTGATTTCTGGCTGAATTCGCCACTGGAGACATTGAATGGAAATGGGGGTTGTAACTAGATGGGCGAAAGCAGTAGATGTGTGATAGGATGTGATTCAGAGGGATGTTGTGGTGCCAGAGTGAGGCCGGCATGACGCTAACATTAACAGGATTGAAAATCATGGTACCTGAGTGATAATGGGAAAAGGACAGAACTCTGGAATATTTTAAGTCTAGAAGAGTTCTGGGGCTGGAGCAATAGCACAGTGGGTAGGGTGTTTGCCTTTCATGCGGCCGACCCAGGCTTGATTCCCAGCATCCCATATGGTCCCCTGAGCACTTGGAGTGATTCCTGAGTACATGAACCAGGAGGAACTCCTGTGCATCGCCAGGTGTGACCCCCCCCAAAAAAAAAGCAAAAAAAAAAAAAAAGAAGAGTTCTATAGCACAGAATAAGACTGAAAATCTTGCAATAGTAGAGAGGACTCCTGTGTATGGCTATGCAGACGGTGTACATTTAAGTATTTTATTATTTTTAGACGTGGGGCCACACCCAGCAGTGCTCAGGGCTTACTCCTGGATCTGTGCTCAGGCATCACGTCTGGTGGGACTTGAGAGACCCTATGGAATGTCAGGGATGGGACCTGGGTCAGTTCATGTGAGAGGCAAATGCCCTACTGTGCCACTATTCACTCCGGCTTCTGAGCTCTTTATCGTTCAAGAGTGTTTTCAGGGGGCCCAGCTTCACAGATAACACTCAACCAGCAGCCCCACAGCCAGGCCACCAAAATGTACAACAGATGGTTCTCTCGGCTGAAGATGCAGTTTGTTTTGAAGTGGGACAGGAAAAATCACGCCAGGGACAGCAGCCACCACGCCCGACCTCCTCTCCCATGGAAAGGGACCGGTTCTGCAGCTCCAGAATCACACCCTCCTCTGAACTCCCCCAAGCTGACCGCCCAGAGGAGACATAGCAAATCTGATGCGAAAGACACATGCAACCCACAAAGCTCAGGGGACAAAAACGATAACGCAGAAGGCTCACTGTTAAGCCTGCTCCAAACAGCCCAGCCTGCTCCAAACAGCCCAGAAGTCCTCAGACGATAACATTAGGAGCACCATCGTGTGATAATCAATCATCCCATATTAATTTATTGACCTGTTTCCTGATCATTCTATTTGCCATTTTGTTGTAGCACGCAACGTAAATTAAATCTATTATGTACCTGCTGGGGACATTGGAGGGGAACTCACTCAGTACTGGCGTAAGAACATTGTATGTCCGGAGCAACTGTGTTAGAAATGACTTTGGGAATCAAAAGCATGACGAGGAAATGTCCGGGGGTCAGGGCATGTGCTTTCCCTGCAGTGACCACAGACAGCTGATGCTCCTTTGACTTGGACCCTGTGTAGGTCCCCAAGCACTGCAGGGATGACCCCTGAGAACAGAACCCCGAGGAAGCCCTGAGGACCACTAGATGCAGGTTGAAACTCCCTCCTCCCTTCCCAAAGTGGATTTCTATTAACATCTTATTTTATGTGCTTATTATGAGCAAATAATAATGTATGGAAGAATGATAATAGATTCTCTTTATTGATCTTATAATAAGTGGACTAACAAGAAATGTTCCACGTGCATAATCCCATCTAATAATCACGAAATCACCAGATGGGAAGCTTCATAAAGACAGAATTATGTCTCCCTATTTATTAATCAGCAACACTAATAATAATCAGTGAATTTCAATACAGCAGACACGGAATAAATATTATTAAACAATGAGACAATTTTCCCTTTGAAGTAGGCCCAGAAAAGTACAGTCTTAATCTGCTGAAGTTTTAGCATTGCTAATCATAACAGATTGTGTCTTGCTTGTTTGCTGTGATTATCTTCTATATTTTTTTTTGAATCTTGGGGTCACACGTAGCAGTGCTCGGGGCTCATTCCTGACTCTGTTCTCAGGAGCCGTCTCGGGAGTGCCATGGAAGTAAAGTCCACTGTCTGTATGGCAAATAGCCTGGCCTTGAACTCCCCGAGACAGGCAGTATGAGCTTAAGAATTTTAGAATTGCAAAGAGAGAATACCTAAGAATACCTTTACTTTGCCACTTACAAAAAAAAAAAAAACTGCAGAAGTATGAGAAGTAGGCGTAAAACAGTTATGAGATTTTTTTTTTGCATGTAATGCATTTTGTTGCAATTAAATGCGCAAGCTGCAAAGTTAGATTCAAATTAATAAAAATAAAGATGGAAACTATCACCATCAAAAATATCTTGGAAAGCATAGTTAGGATTTGTTTAAAGTTCAGGGACCGGAGAGAGAGAGCACAGCCGATAAGGTGCTTGCCTTAGGTGAGGTGAGTTTGGTTTTGATCCTCAGCACTGCATCTAGTCCCTCAGGCACCATCGGGAGTGAGCCCTGAGCACAGAGTCAGGAGTGAGCCCTGAGCACAGAGTCGGGAGTGAGCCCTGAGCACAGAGTTGGGAGTGATCCCTGAGCACAGTCGTGAGTGAGCCCTGTGCACAGAGTCAGCAGTGAGCCCTGAGCACAGAGTCAGGATCAACCAACTCTGCACAAACACACAAATAAAAGCGATTTGCTAAAAGTTCGTGGAAGATTTTTCGTTCATGAATAAAGCATACAGAAATAAAGGGTGAAACATCGTCTTGAAGCTCAAATCACAAGGTTTTGACCCAAACTTACCAGAACAGTCACAACACGTAAAACCACCCCACGCATGTTATTCTCCAGTTTCTTGTCTGTCAGGGACCCATTCAAGCCGGTGACAGGATTCCAGCACCCCAGCTGAAAGACAAAAGACAAACAACCTGATCAGGTTCCTGCCGGAAGGAGAATCGGGTTGCCTAGTAAGACCTTTCTAGGATTCTGTGATAATCTGGAAGTAACTGACATAGGAAAGGTTTTCTGCATGTTTTCCATTGAAACAGCAAATGGAGCCATGAAAAAGATCATTTCACACTTTTAAATAATTTCATATATATCTTATGTGATTGTTCCATAATTCTGCAGCCTTATTAAGAATACTGAACTTAATGAGTTGCTATAAATATACCTATACCTCGGATCCGGTAACACACTAATTGGAAAAATAATAGCACATATAATTCTACTTTAACGTCTGTTCTGATTTATTAATTACTGCACAAAGTTAGATTGTCATACAGTTTCAATGGTCTTAATTAGACTTTACACCGTTTTATTGGAAAAACTACAAGATTTTTAATGTGCTTCAAAGGTCTACTGCTTTTATTTGAGGAAAAATGCATGTATATGGCTTTGTTGTTTGCAAGTAGTCACAGTACATAAAACAATATAATTTGCCTTTTTTGTCAGTGCTATCAATTTGCCTGGGAGTTTTGACAGCAGTCTTTCCCTTCAAATGTTGCAGTGATTCACTGCTCTTTATTCTCCAAAATACAGGTTTGATTTTACATCCTTATGCCATCCTTATCTCCTGTAACATAAATCTGAGAGCTACCAATTTTAAAACCACCGCCTACAAATTGCTACGGGATAAAACTGGATGATTCTCAATTCAGAAATAAGGAGCAAATCAAAAGAGACTGTGCCTTATGTTAGCTGTTCAAAGAGCAAAGTTGCAAACAGAATGCTCTAATGTATAGCTTGGGAAGAAATGCCACGCTATTATTAATCCTGGTGGCCGATCCACGAGAGTTCACATTTTGGCACCGATCCTGCATTTGTCTGTTTTTAAAAATCAACCAATATTTCAGCGCATTCAGAGGCTGTTTTAGTTTACTGAATGGTTGTAGGAACGCTTGGATATTTGTGCCCATTCTTCTCTTGCATTGCATTTTGTGGGTGACTTCCAAAGTTTCCAACAACAGCAAAAATGATTCAGGTGCTTCCTATTAAAACCCAGTTGTGTGTCTCAGGTTTGCACAAGATGTCTAATTCAAAGGAAACTAAAATGCACTTAATACACTGTAAGAGAACGTCACACGACCACCAAAAAGCAAGCGTTTTACTTCTAATCATTTGGAAAAGGCTGTGGTTGGTTTCAGCTGCAAAAGCACATCGCATTCATACAATGATAAGTCATTCTTAGTTACAAAAAAAGAGTCTAATTAGAACTTCGATCTAATTAGCAAATTCAAATGTGTTGAAAGTCTCATTACCAGAGATACTGTCACCCCTTGCCAAATTAAAATCTTAGGAAACTTCTTTTGAATTTTTGTTCTCTTCTGAGGTCAACCAGAGTCTGAACTCAATTACATTCCTTAATGGGAACTGTTTTCTAATTTCTGGTACAAGAAGTTTTTATTTCCTAGACCAGATAATATTTGTGGGAAAACCATCTATGATATTTAGAAGAAAGATAAATTTCCAATGTATTACTTTACTTTTGTAACCCTTTCTGCAATGATTTAATTCTTTAACTATTTCATTCTGAACTTAAATAGACAACTTAGAAGAACATCATTTTATTCATGATGAATATCCAAAATCTGTCTATATGAAGTCAATATTTTTTGTTGTCTCTCATGGGTTAAGTTTGGCAAACTTATTATCAATTTATCTAAATATATTAATTCCAACTTGACCATAAATTTTTTTGTATTGTATTGCTGGAGTGATAGCACAGTGGATAGGATGCTTGCCTTGCATGTGGCTGACCCAGGTTCGATTCTTCTACCCCTCCCAGAGAGCCCGGCAAGCTACCAAGAGTATCCTGCCCATAAGGCAGAGGCTGGCAAGCTCCTCGTGATGTATTTGATATGCCAAAAACAGCAACAACAAGTCTCACAATGGAGACGTTACTGGTGCCCGCTCAGCAAGTCGATGAACAACAGGAGGACAGTGCTACCGTGACTAGTCAAAATATTTATTATTTAAGAAATATCTAGATATATTATTCAATTTGTTTCACCGATGTTTTTCAAAATATATTTCTGTACAATAAATTCCATCTTCTAAATCTGTCCTCATTCAAACATAACTAAATATAGTCAGTAGTTTCAAATAACAACAACAAAAAAAGCATGTAGAATTGGCAGATAAATAAATGTTTTCCCTAGACTTTGGCAGTGAATTTTGTGCCATTCATGACGTGCCTTACTATCCTTTATGTCTATCTAAAACAGAGAAGAGAGAGGGGCTAAAATGTCAGTACTAGAAAGGACTGAGCAATTTTTTTCTCCATTATAGATGACATAATTTTATGTAGATAAATTCTTAAATATGTAACAAAAATCAATCAATATATCAGTCATTTTCAGAATAAACATTTATTTTATGCTTCATTTCATATTATTATTACTTTCTGGGGGCGCTCAGTGGATTGTGCGTGAGTGGGATAGCACCAGGGCTGGCTGCATGGTAGATGAATGTTCTTACCACTGTCTACTATCTCTTTTTCCTAAAGATACAAATTTAAGACAAAAATCAGTAATACTTCTATACACAAAATTTAAATTTACAAATTAAAATAACTAAAACGCATATGTCAAAGCATGTATCTAAAGAGGTCAAAGATATTTGAGCTGAAAAGTACCAGACAAATGAAAGAAATCAAAGAAGATATTTATATATGGTATTATGTGTTCACAGATAGGAAGAATTATTTTTAAGCATTTCCATACTACCCAAAGTAACCTACACATTTAACACAATCTCTACTGAAATGCCAAGAGCATTTTTCATACAAATAGGAAAAATAATTGCCAAACTTAAAAGGAACTGCAAGAGATTCCAAATTTCCAAGGAAATCTTGAGGATACATAGCAACAGTCATGACACGCTCCACACTTCCATACTCCATAACAAATGATAATATTCAAAAGTATGGCTCTATTATTAACACAAAACACACATAAGTCATCAGAACAGAGAACCAAGAAATAACTCCTGTGCATGTGGGTGTCTGCTCGAGCAAATCGATGAACAACAGGAGGACAGTGCTACAGTGCTATTCCATTAATGTTTTATTATTATGAAAAGGGAGTTAACCTGTTTCATTATTACGGGAAGGGAATCAAAGCAATGGTGAGTACTTTCAACAAATGTTGGGTTAGGTAATAGGTGACCACAGAAAGAAAATTACTATCTTAGAGAAACCTCCCCAAAACTTAAAGACTTGTATGTAAGACTTTAACACCATAAAACTTCTTTTGTTTTGTGGTGATGAGGGCTTATCCTGGCTCTGTATGCAGGAAACAATTCTGGCAGGCTTGGGGGATCATGTGGGATGATGGGGATCAAACCTGGATCAGATAAATGCAAGGCTGGGGGCTGGAGAGATAGCACAGTGGGTAGGGCATTTGCCTTGCACGCAGCCAACCCGGGTTCGATTCCCAGCATCCCATATGGTCCCCTGAGCTCCGCCAGGAGTAACTCCTGAGTGCAGAGCCAGGAGGAACCCCTGTGCATCACCAGGTGTGACCCCAAAAAGCAAAAAAAAAAAAAAACCGGCAAGGCTGGTGCCTTATCTGCTTGTACTATGGCTCTGGGCTGGAGCGATAGCACAGCGGTAGGGCGTTCGCCTTACAAGCGGCCAACATGGCCTACCCGAGTTCGATTCCTCCGCCCCTCTCGGAGAGCCCGGCAAGCTACCGAGAGTATTCGATATGCCAGACACAGTAACAACAAAGTCTCCAATGGAGACGTTACTGGGCCTGCTCGAGCAAATCGACGATCAACGGGAGGGCCTTTACCTTTACCTTTACTATGGCTCTGAGCCGCCAAAACTTCTTAAAGCAAACAGGTAGGAAGCACCTCATGATCAGTCTTAGTGGTATGTTTGGAGAGTGTCTCAAAAACAAAGACAAAAAGCTAAAATATGCAAGTGAAGCTAAAAATATTCTGCACAGTAGAGAAATCATCAACAAATTAAAATGGAAATTAACTAAAGGTGAAAAGATATTTGCAAATCATATGTCTGATAAGGAATCATCCAAAGACCTACAAATAATTCATAAATCTATCACAAAAAGGAAAACCAGTTTTATTAAAAACAGAACTGAATTGGCATTTTCCCAAATAAATATAGCCAAAAGGTATATGAAGATATATATAATATATATATTTGATGAAATATATATATATTTGATCACTTGCATGGTGACACAATCACTAATCCAAAAAAATTCAAATAAAAGCCATGAGATATTACTTCCTTCTTGTCAGAATGGCTATTATAAATTTTCTTTAAAAAGAGAGAAAATATGACAAGGATGTCAAAAAGGCAAACCTTTTTATGCTCTTAGTGGGAATTTAAGTTGGGTCGGTCACTATGGAAACAGAAGAGAGTATCCTCAAAATAAAAAAAAATGTAGCTAACATAAAAAACAACAGTTCCTTTTGGTATATAGCTTTCAAAATAAAAAGACTGTATATATATATACACATATATGTATATATATGTATATATATACCCACCCAGTACATTCATTCCAGTTTTACTTGCAATAGTAAAAATGTGAAATAATCTAAGTCTCTACAGACAAAGAAAATGTGACATAAAGGCCCTCCCGTTGATCGTCGATTTGCTCGAGCGGGCCCAGTAACGTCTCCATTGGAGACTTTTGTTGTTACTGTGTCTGGCATATCGAATACTCTCGGTAGCTTGCCGGGCTCTCCGAGAGGGGCGGAGGAATCGAACTCAGGTCGGCCATGTTGGCCGCTTGTAAGGCGAACGCCCTACCGCTGTGCTATATATGTATATGTACATTTATTTTATATGTATATACATTATGTCTATATGTGCATATATTATATATGTCATATTATTTAGGCATAAAAATGAGGATGTCCTATTACAACAG